GCCCCCAGCCCCCAGCAGGCATTAGATACCCAGCCAGGCTGCTCGCCCAGCGTTTAAAAGCCACAGAAAGATGCAGATATGAGCCCTTCCTTGTCACTCCCACCCAGCAAACTGCAGGCAGTCCTGCAGGGACCAGCCCTCCTCAGCCCTGCAGGACACGCAGCCTCCAACCAAGTTCATCAGGCGCTGGGCAGAGCTCAGAGACACCTCCTGGGTCCTACAATCAGTTTATTAGTCTAGTAAAAACAACGCCGCAAAGGGATGCGTTAGCTACACCTGATATGGGGAGGAACTGCAGGCTCTGCCAGGCCTGGCCAGTGTCCCTCCCAGCACAGCCCTTATTTCTATCCCCATATTGTAGAGGCTGTGCCGGGGGGGCCTCGGGTATTGCTCAGCTCTAGGATGGGCAGAATAGAGCCCTCCAAAAACCTCTAGGCAGGGCAGGAGAATGCAGCTGCCAAGCTTGGGGACAACCAGACCAACGGCATCCCTTCCCACAGAGCCAGTGTGGTCCCTAGGGAGCGATGGGGCTGGACGGCCCTTCAATGCCGTTCATTTGGGCACCCTCATCTCCCCATTGACTCCCACCTTCCCAGCAAAAACTCATCCCAAGCTACTTTCAGCAGGGATGTGGATGCCAACAAAGGCACATCTGCTGCCCACAGACAGGTCGAACTCCACTGGCCTTGACTGGGAGCAGGCAGGAAGGCAGGCAGGGACAGGCAAGGAAGGAGCAAGGAGGAGGGCTGGTTGCCTAGCATGTTGGTGCTAATGTTGGAGGGGGTTGACAGACAGACTAGAGTTGAATGGACAGACCATGCAGACCCTCTTGTGGCTCATCAAACTGGCTGCTGGGGCAGACAGACGCTAAATGCCTTCATGAGTCTGGGGGCACTTGGCACCCCAAGGCCATCCACAATGACACCCAGACTAACACCCTGCTTCGCCAGCAGGGCCAGGGCTGCTGGGGCTCCCCCAGGCACACCCCACCATAGGACAGCGGGGGTACAGGTGATGCCAGCCCCACTGCCTCCCCTCTCTGAGCCCCATTCAGGTCTGTGACACAGTGGCCATTGTCCCAGGCCACGAGCACAGGGAGAAGCCTGTCCCCATATGGGCTGTGCTCAAAGGCAGGGCTCCTGCTGTGCTTGCTGGCCACTGGGACAGGCAGGGGTGTGCCCCTAGCAC